TGTGCTACGTGATATTCTAAGAAGAGAAATTCCTTCATCTGATTTTTCCAAGAAAGTCAAAGAATGGACTGATGATCTCAAGAAAAACAAAAAACGGAACCCTCTTAATCCATCACAAGTTGATAACATTTTCCCCTCACCAACAAATAAGTATGGGGGAGACTACTCAGACCTGGATATATCCATTCTGTATATCATTCTTCGAAATGTCAGCAAACTTTCTCCACCTTCCAAAGGTTGGGGGGAGGTTCCGAGACCCACCGACAGAAGCATTGCAGCAAACATTGAAAGGATTCGTTTTCTTCGGAACAAATACTATGGCCATTCTGCCGATATATCTCTTTCTGACTCAGAATTTAGTCAGGAATGGCGTAACATCCGGGATATCGTTGTGGAATTGGAGAGAGACCTTGGGAGTTCTACAGTTTATCAGGATTCTGTGACAGACATCAAAATGTGCTCAATGGATCCTGAAACGGAAAAGAAGTACATTGATAAACTGGGAAAAGTCGACGAGTTGTACTCTACAATTTCAAGTTTTTCAGGTATTAGGTACATATAAATTATCAAATAACATTAAAAACACATGTTTGAGGACTTGATGTAAATAATCTTTTTCTAAAAAATAATGTAAATAAGTCATGTTTAAAAAAATAAAATGAATAAGATCACAGGATGGATTTAAAGTTTTCATTCAATATTTTACAAAAATGTTCAATAGTTTTGTATAGATTTATAAGGGTGATTGCCTAAAGGTAAATCATTAAACATCATTAAAAAATCTACAATGTCATAATATTGCCAAAATTTGATATTTGCATCATTCACAGCCAAAATCGGTCCATACAATTTATTTTAAACGAATGACCTGTCTATGGGTGTAAAATACTTTATCATTTTAGAGAGCATGAAGAATATAAAAGAGAATCTAACCAAGCTTCGAGGTGAGTATTATGAATATTCACTTATGATATTATTTCTTTTGCAATAAGACATGAAATTATTAAATTCACTGCCCCTATAATGCTCATAATTGTCGACAGTTAAAAGTTTTTATTTATTATATAGAATAACAACATTAATCAATAAAAGTCAATTTATAATAAAAATAGATAACAAATCATCCACAATTATCAATGAAATGGCGCAGCCCCGTTCTATCTGTATTTTTCCCTCTCATTTATTTAAAACCTTTCTTCTTTAATGAATTGGATTAAAGTAATAGATTTTTTAAAGTGGATTTTCACGTGGACTGACAATGCTGCACTTCTCTTTAAGAGTCAAGCAACGCCTCTGTCTAGTATAATCTCTTATAAAATTTCTCCACTTAAAAGTCATGGCAAAAAAATATTATACATATAGTAATTTATGTTCTAGGCAAATGATATACCTTTCCTCAATGAATTGAAACCAAATTAGAGTCCTTTTATAATCAAAACTTTTTATCTCTCCTTATTTGAAATGGTCTCAATTTTGTATATTTCCATTATACTGTATTTAAGGAATGAATTTAATAGCTACCCAATTTATACGGTATAAAGTGGATTGGGGCAGTTTACGCTTTATAAACCTTATAATTTAATTTTCATTCATTTAATTTAAGAAAAAAGTGTTTTCTCTTAAAAAATGACTTCCAATTGTTCAAAATTTTAATATAACGTCTGGCGGATCGAAACGTTTTTAGCTCACCTGAGCCGAAGGCTCAAGTGAGCTTTTCTGATCACATTTTGTCCGTCGTCCGTCCGTCCGTCTGTAAACTTTTCACATTTTTGACTTCTTCTCAAGAACCACTGGGCCAATTTTGACCAAACTTGGTACAAAGCATCCTTGGGTGAAGGGGAATTTAAATTGTTAAAATGAAGGGCCAAGTCCCCTCACAAGGGGAGATAATCAAGAGAAGACAAAAATAGGGTGGGGTCATTAAAAAATCTTCTTCTCAAGAACCACAGGGCCAGTAAAGCTGAAACTAATGTAGAAGTATCCTGGGGTAGTGTAGATATAAATTGTTAAAAGCATGACCCCCGGGGGTAGGGCGGGGCCACAATAGGGAATCCAAGTTTTACATTGAAATATATAGAAAAAATCTTTAAAAATCTTCTTCTCAAGAACCACAGGGCCAGAAAAGCTGAAACTAATGCGGAAGCATCCTGGGGTAGTGTAGATTCTAAATTTTTAAAATCATGACCCCTGGGATAGGATGGGACCACAATAGGTGTATTACATGGGGGAAAGTTACTCAGGTGAGCGTTGTGGCTCATGGGCCTCTTGTTGACGTAAGTCATTGTGACGTGGGCAACCCAATTTATACGATATAAATTAAATTTTTTATCCAATCAAATACCGCGTTATAACCAGAATTAAATTATTTTTAAATACTGTGAATTCTTTCAAAGCAATCTCCAGAAGATTCAAAAGCCTGAATAAGCAGAACATAAAATATCAGACAAACCTCTTGTGTTCTCCTACCCACTGCATTAAATCATTAATTGCATTCTTATAAACAAACATTTTTGATTTCATTGTTAGAATTTCGCCTGCACATATATATTACATGTAATTATACCTAAATACTTGCCCTGCATGGGAGGGAGGTAATTTATGTTTTACAATCATCCAAACATCAAATCAGAGCACTTCAATCAGCTTGAAATTAATTTGGAACTTTTTTCTTTTAGATCCGAAGCTTGAAAAAGAAATTGGTATGTATGCTCATCGACCTGTATGTAGGTCGCATATATAGGGTTAATTTTTTTCTATTAACATTTTAAATAGTTTTTGTGTCATAGACAGAGAGTTAGTTTATGTACATAAATATTCAATAATGTAGTAAGATTATATTATAATGATGGGGCTACATGTATAATTATGTTGGAATTACAGGGATTCAAACATCGTATTAAAGTCAGCATTTCGAAAATTCTATGGTCGTTATAATGACCTTGTTTGCAAGTATAACCTGTCATTGGGTCGTTTGTTGGCTGACGTGTTTCATACTAATTGTTAGACCTTGTTTAACTACGGAATGTTCCGTCTACTTGATATACATGGCGAGTATGACCGGTCAACAGGGGATACTTACTCCTCCTAGGCACCAGATCCCACCTCTGGAATTTCCAGGTGTCAATGTTTTAAGCCCTGCTCACAAATTTGGATTGTTATTGTTATAGATTTTATGAGATCGATCGCTGTTTGTTCTCTTCATCTTGTTTGTCACCATAGGAATGCTCTCCTAAATTTTTAATGTTATTTTTTTTTTCATAGTTATCTTCAGGCCGTATAGTTCCTTTAACAATCTTGATATTTTTTAAAAAATATTTTCAGGGAGGTTAGGCAACGTTCAGTAGTTCATTATTTATCCTATAAATATTAATTTAAATATGTCACTCTTCATCCTGTTTAACAAAACAGAGAGGAAAGATTATTAAATTCAAATTTAAACGATACAGTAATCTAATCAAAAGTACCCTTTCAATGTAACATGCATAAAAAATGATAATTTCTCACAAATAAAAGATATTTCCCTATAGTATTTGATGTTCTAAGAGCATTTAAAAAAATTCAATTCTAGTATTTATCGACGCTGACAAATTCTAAAGCATCATCTTCCAAAATAAAGGGTAGAATTTTTTAGCCGGTATGTTTGCGCTGACCGCATGAAAAATACTGAGAATAATATAAAGAGCAAGGTCAATTCATGTAATATCTAACTGTAACATTCTGTTTAAGTAAGTGTTTTTAACTCATCTGAGTCATTTAGTTGACTATTGCTCTCTGTTTTGTCGGTCCACTTGTGACCTCCGTCGTGCATTAATATTTGAACATATGTAGCTTTTCTGGAACCGCTGAAAAAAATCCCTAATTTTGACCTGTTGCATCTTTGGGTCTAACGGAAAAATAATATCGTTTATTTTATTGTTCCCTGGATATGAAGGTTGGGACTAAAACCCGAAGAAGTAAAAAAAAAACTTTAAAGAAAAATTCTTCACCCTATGACATTCGAAGCAGTCATGGTTGTAATAAGCATTGAGCCTTCTGCAGAAATTGTGAAATGCATGACCAAAGAGTCAGAGGTTATGGATAGAGACGGGCTCTATTGATCTATAGTAAAATGTACTTTTTAATTTAAAAAAGTTCTTGTCTGCCATGTATATTTAGCATACAAACTAAGTGCATGTTAATGATTATATTGTAAAAATGTATTATCTCTTTAAAAGTCCTCTTTTCTGCCCGGGGGTATTTAGCAATTATACTACATGTAAGTGCAAGTCTATTACGAACAAGGGTTGCGAATTTCAAAGCCCCTGGTCAGGGCTTCCGGTGTTAATGTGGGATTCTACTGATAATAATGTGAAAATTCATGCATTATTTTATTTCATTATACCTCTACTGATTTTTTCCATATAAAACATTAGATCGTTAGATGTGACTAATTCCCTAGAAATCGTTATGAATGGACTAATCACCGCGCGTTAGTCAAGTGAGCTAATCCCTGCATCAAAAGCTAATTCCAGGTTATCCGTAATCCTCTAAATTTTACTTTAACATTTGTATGATATGTTAATGGACTAATACCCGTGTGTTAGTTCAGTGAGCTAATCCCTGCAATGAAATCGTGCTATCTGAATCCTCAAAATTTTACGTTTGTATCGGTATAATAAAACAATTATAGTAGGCTTCGGCTCGGGAAATAGTCCTGGCCTTGGGGAATTGGAATCTTGCTAACTCCCTCAATGATATACTTTGTATATTGAAAGTTCTTCATTTGTTTGCCCTTTGTATAAACATGTATTTATTATTTTTTTAACTGACAAGACATATGGCAAACAAAAATTGTATTTTATTCTGTTATTTTTACTATATATCGGCCCCGCATTTCATTAACGTTTTCACAAAATCTCATAGAACAAACTTAAGTTTTGAGGTATTTTTTTTTTAAATTTTCCGTTTTCTTTTCAATTATAGATTCAAGCAAAATTATGATTGAAAAGCATCAACAGGACATGGCAAACACCTTTGTCAAAATAAGAGCTTTAGAGAGAGCAAAGCAACTATTAGAGGAGAATAGTTACGTTATCATAAAGGGTAACCCTGGCTCGGGGAAAACAACACTAGCTAAATGGTTGTTAAAGATATTAATGGATAATGGAAAACGTCCTCTTCAGCTTTTTAAGGTTTCTAAACTTTATGGTAGAGTATCAGCGGATGACAATGTTGCACTCTTCATAGACAATGTATTTGGTGAATTCTCGTTTTCAACTACGGAGTTCAACGAATTTATCAATAAAAAAGAATTAATAACATCTGTTTTAAAATATAACGAAAACAGAACGGGAAATGTTTTACTTTTGACAATCAGGAATGATATTTACATGGAAGTTCTCGATAAACGAAAGTCCAATTCCTTCTTTTGCTCCTCTGTGACTGACTTATCAAGCGGAGAATATGCTTTACAAACTAACGAAATTGAGATGTTTCTCGAGAAATATGGGTTGTCTGCAGAAGGGAAGGGTCAAGATATGAAGGAAAAACACTCTGAGTTATATCGATCATTGGGATTTCCTCAGTGCTGTAGCTTAGCACGTGGAAATCCTGAGTTTGGAAAAAATATTTCAAATTTTCTCAATGACCCTAGTCTGTATCTGAAAGACTACATTGACACCCAGATAAGGGAAAAACATGCTAAAACTGCTGTGCTTATATACATACTACTGAAAGGTGGTCACGTGGAAGCAGCGCTCTTCAAAAATCAAAAGGATCGGGAAACTAAAATGGTTGCTTTAGGAATGCTTGAATTAGGGCGTCCATCATTTGGCCAATTCCAAAAGAGCATTCATTTATATGAAGGTTTCTTAACAAAACATGACAAAATAAATAATGCTTTCATGTTTTCTCACAGTTCTGTTCAGGAGGCAATATTTAGAGAATTGTTTGTTGCATTTCCAGAGGAAATTACACGCAATTGTCATCATTCCTTGCTTCAGAGTTTGACTACAAGTATAAATCCAAAAAGTACACAGATTGTCATAGAGAAGGAAATGTTTGAAATTGTAGCTTGTCGGATTGAACAGATATTAAGGGAAGGTTCAGACTCAGGATTTCGTTCGATATCTGTTTTGGAGCTTTGGACTGATTCAGACTTTTACCATCATATTCTAAAAAATGAGTTATGTATTGAATATATTAAAAAACAGGTCGATTCCAAAGGAAATGGAATGATAGTACATTTCGCAAAAGCAGGGCATATAGATTGGATTCGTGAACTGCTGCAGAATTCAGATGAAACACAAAAGTATCGGTCACTTAATGCTGCATGCGCAGAAAATCAAGAGAGCATTGTTAGGAATATTTTATCTAGCGGAGTTAAATCTGATCTAACTACTTGCTTTCACGCAATACAAGGTGGAAATTTGAACCTTTTCATGGAATTATGCGAATCAGTAGACGCACTTCAAACTTCTTTCTCTCTTCATCCAAAGTGTTCCAATACAAACAACAGTTTACTTCAAGAGGCTTGTTCAATGGAACAATTACAATTTGTGGAACCTTTGTTGAGTCGTTACCCAAAACTTAAGGACATAAAAAATAAGTTCGGTGAAACGGCAATGCATTCTGCTGCACAATCTGGAAATATCAATGTCTTCAATCTTCTCTTAAAAGCCGGTTTAAATCCTTTAGAAAGAAATTATAAAATGGAAACTGTTCTTGCATGCGCTGTTAAACATGGAAAACTATCCATGGTAAAATTCTTGGTTAAAAAATACCCAAGACTTTTACAAAGCCACACTTTTTACCATGGAACAACTATTTTACATCTGGCTGCCTTATCTGGAAATGTTGATCTTTTCGAATTTCTTACGGGACAGTACGAACTTCCCTCGACCAGGCTTAAAAAACCAAATATTAGCAAACGAGATGACGATGGCCTAAATGTGTTGCACTACGCATGTTCTGCTGGTCATCTTGAAATAAGTAGATTCTTAATATCAAAATATCCCCAGCTGCTTTCTGAAAAAGACAATTACGGAGAAGATGTGCTACACAAAGCAGCAGTGGGAGGTAATGTTGATCTGTTTCAATTGTTACTGAACGAGGGTTTGAAAATAGAAAGCACAGCAAATAACGGTAACAGTGTATTGCATTCCTCTTTATACACGGATAAAGAAGAGGTGTGTAGATTCCTAGTAAACAACTATCCCGACTTTATAAAGAAGAGAAACAATGCAGGTTGGACAGCTGTACATTGTGCTTGTGAGGGTGGAAATGTCGGGCATTTGTCTTTCCTTTACGACAAAGGCTTGGATATCGATGCATTAACCAATCTTGGAAAATGTGTCCTTCATATTGCATGTTATAGTGCTAATTATGATGTGAGCAGGTATTTAGCTGAGAAGTATAAAAAATTTCTACATATCATTGATAAGAGAGGACACACAGTTTTGCATGATGCAAGCTTTGGAGGAAACGTAGATATTTTCAAGCTTTTGATAACGAAAGGTTTAGACATCAACTGTGTAGAACACAACGGAAAGACAGTTCTTCATATATGCTGCTATAAAGCAAGAAAGGGAATGTGCGAATATCTGGTCGAGAATTACCCACATTTACTCGATATTAAAGATAATAATGGCCATACAGTTTTACACGATGCTTGTATCGGTGGAAGGGTTGATATTGTGGATTTTCTGGTCACTAAAGGCATGAACATCAAAGCCGTGACAAACATTGAAGATTTGAATGAAAATACCTATCCGAGAAATAGTGAAATGTCTCAGTTTTTAAAGAAAGGTAATAATATCAATGCTACAGGAGGGAAAACAGTTTTACATATCAGTTGTTTATGCAGTAGAAGACAGATGTGTGTGTATTTGGTCCAATGTTACCCTCAATTAATGGAGATCAAGGACAATGCTGGAAGAACGGTTTTACATGATGCATGTTTGGGTGGAAATGTCGGAATTTTGTCATTCCTCCTTAGCAAAGGTATGGATATCAATGCTTTGACGACCTTAGGTAATTCAGTGCTTAATATGTCATGTATCAGTGCTAAATATATTGTATGTGAATATTTAGTAAACTACTTTCCACACCTACTGAATGTTATTAACAAAGATGGTTACTCATGTTTGCACCTCTCAGCCGCTGGAGGTAACGTTGACATTTTGAAACTTTTTTTACGAAAAGGCATGGATATAAATTCCGTCGGAAAAAGTGGAAAAACAGTTCTCGGGATAAGCTGCCGTTTTGCTCAGTCAGAAATGTGTTATTTTCTTTCTGAAAATTATGCACATTTGAAAGAAATCAAGGACAATGAGGGTCAAACAGCGTTACATGATGCATGTTGGGGAGGAGATGTGAACATTTTTACTTTTCTTCTTGGGGAAGGCTTAGACATCAATGCTTTGACAGACAAGGGAGAGACACTACTTCATTTTGCATGTGAAAGTGGTAAATACTCTCTGTGTGAGTGTCTTATCTTCAACCACTCACATTTACTTAACCAAAAGGATGATTTTGGCTATACAGTTTTGCATTTAGCAGCAACAAGTGGTAATATTGATGTTGTAAAACTTTTGAGAGAGAAAGGATTGGATATGATGTCTGTAGGTCTAAATGGTAAAACTGTATTGCATCTGTCCAGCATGAATAGTAGAAAGGAAATGTGCAAATATATTCTGCAATATTATCCTCAGCTCAAAAATATTAGGGATGAAGATGGTCATACAGCCCTACATGATGCATGCGAGGGTGGGAATGTAGATACTGTGTCGTTTTTACTTGCTAGAGGTTTTGATATCAATGCATTGACGAATACTGGGGAGACTGTCCTTCATTCTGCATGTTTCAATGGCAATTATAGTGTTTGCATGTTCTTACTTGACAAGCATCCTCATTTACTTAATGTCAAGGACAGACATGGTAACTCAGTATTGCACGACGCAGCCTCGGGAGGAAATGTTAACATTTTGAAATGTTTGATTACGAAAGGTCTGAAACTCAACTCACTAGGGGCTAATAGAAAGACAGTTCTACATTTCGCCTGTCATTACTGTAGAAAAGAAATGTGCGAATATCTTATAAATAACTTTTCTCAGCTAATGTATATCAAGGACACCGAGGGGTACACTGCATTACATGAAGCTTGTATTGGCGGAGATGTATCAATTTTATCAATTCTTCTGGATAAAGGTATGAACATCAACGCATTAGACAGGCGGGGTTATTCTGTCCTCGACGTTGCATGTTCCAATGGAAAGTATGCCGTGTGCAAATATTTAGTGGCGAAGCATAAAGACTTACTGCGTTTCAGACACAAATATGGTTTTTCACTTTTGCATAGCACAGCTCTAGGAGGTAATGTGGAAATCTTTAAGTTTCTGAGGATAAAAGGAGTGGAAATCAACTCTGATGTAAATGGGAAAACGGTTTTACACATTTGCTGTCTCCAAGGTAAACAAGAGATGTGCAAGTTCCTTCTTGAGAATTACTCTCATTTAAAAAATGTGAAAGATAGATTTGGTCATACAGCGTTGCATGATGCCTGTATTGGTGGAAATTTGGAAATGGTCCGTTATCTTCTTGGAAAAGGGTTGAATGTTAACATCCTTACAAATGCTGGAGAAAGTGTCTTAAATCTTGCTTATGATAATAAAAAGCATGATATTTTTCAGTATTTTGTTAACAGCCATCCTCATTTAGTCTTATGTTTATTTAAGGACTATGAAATGTAAAGGAATTATTAAGTCTTATGTTTATTTAAGAACTATGATATGTAAAGGAATTGTTTACTTTTCTTTCATGACAGTTATCTAATTTAGTAACTCTATTAAATGGTGAAATAATTGCCAAAACAATTTCTGAACTTTGTTGTGCAGGTTAATCCTATATATAGGTATGCATTTAATGCCCCCTCCATAGAGTGTTGCCACTATCCATCTGTCTTTCCGTCATTCTATCAGCCCGTCATATTTATATTTCCGGACTTTCTTTTGCTATGCTTGTAGACAATAAACTGATTTTGTACTTAAATAACTGTTTCATTTGTCGTCTTGTGTAATTGTTCTGTAGTATTTGTCATTGTTTGGATATATTGTTTTTATATACTGAGAGGAAAAAAGAAATGCAGGATAAACTTTTGAAATGAATTAATGTTACTTTTTTGAACGCCTTTCCCATTGTTTTAATCTAACATTTCATCTCGTCTTTAATCTTCAAGTAAACAAAATCCCATCTGATTTAAACTGATTATTTGTGAGTTATTGAAGTTCATATGAGGGTACCCCCCAAAAGTGAAAATAAAAATTCTCATTTTCTCCTATCTGTCACAGCCATGATTTCCCTCTACATGTTGTTCATCAGTGCATTTATCTTTCTTGTAGAGATATAATTAAACCTTTTCCAGAAGTCAGACCTTAGTTGCTCGAGAATGGCTGGGGCATTCCGACCCCTTCAAATCCTACCGTTAATATGGACTTTTTGGAACCTAGTCGGGAAAATGTTATCTGCGAAAAAGTCTTGACAAAATCTGGCTGCATTGAGCCGGGGGTTAATATGCTGGGGGAGAAAAATTAGGCATGCGACGCGCACGTGCGCGATTGAGTGGAACACCAGCGTAGAGACGACGAGCTCACAAACCAAAATCGTGTAATTGGTTTATTTCATTTTTGAGGTAAATGCGAAAATGACTGTCTACTGTACTTTTGGTGGTTTCAGTAGTAGTGACATTGCGATAACACTGGTAGCAAGAGAAATAATCCCATCTTGAAATGGCGTTGTTACGCTCTAATGTCACCGTCACGGTTAGTTGGAAACCCTCAAGATCCTCTCTGAAGTTCTATGATGAGAAAATTACAACAAACTTTCCTTACCTAGGCAAGGCAAAAGCTAGATATCATGGAAATTTCGTCAGCCGAAATTCAAATTGACTATAAATGTGGGGAAACAATATGTACACCTCCAGTGCATCATGTGGTATTACTAGATTTGTTGACAAATCTGTCATTATCAACATTCACGTGTTTTCGGCTTTTTACTGCTTTTCCTGCCTGACGTTATACATTTTAAGTTACACTGCGTTTCTTTTTCCCTTCAGTATATATATGATTGGTGTTTAACCTTGTTTGATAATTTATTGTATAACTGTTTTATACATTTACCTTATTTTATTTATAAATTGTTACCATAGTACTGTTTGATATGTTAAAATGTGGTTATGGTTTGTCATCATGAAAACTTCGGGACAAGTTACTTTAGTTCAGTGCTTACTTTACATAGGTGCATCATCTTGTGTACATATTGTCGTTGCTATCTCTACTAAGTCTACTTGCTTTTTTAGTCTTGTTCTATCTTATATTGTTGTAACTATAGAATTGTCATCTTGTAGACATATTGTTACTATAGGTCTGCTGGATATATCATCGTGTATACTTGTGTATTTGTCGTTACTGTGCCTTGGAACCATATGTTTGTTGAACATATTTAAATAGCTTTTAGTGTTTCTTTTGTGATTTATTTATATACAAACGTGTATTTAAAGTAGATATTGTAATATCAAGACAAAATAAAATTTATTTGAGAACAAGAAGATACATGTATTATTTCAAAATGTCCATATACAGTGAGAATTTTAAATGATTATATTCAAGTAAGCATTTTGTTTTACATGTTTTCAGTCGGGTTTTCCTTCAGTTAATTATAATTACATTAATTTTTTTTATCTTTTAAGTCTAAATATATTTAAACCCGTCTCTAGTCGGGTGACAGTTTTAGTTCCTACGGACAGAAGATCAGTAATACTAATGCGATTAATTTTTTTGGAAATACAATTTACCTACTTCTATTTTTTTTTACCCAAATAATTTGACAATCTTCAATGCTAAGTAAGTTCATAATTTTTTGCATCCGGTTTTAATTTATACACTGACCTTACACTTTTGCTTATCACTTAGTCTATCGAATTATCCAAAGACATACACAAGATGATCCTAAACCATTCATTGCCTGAATGGTCAATGAAAAGTCTGGAAAGATGACTCAATTACTTTTCAAGCAAGCGAATGGCAGAGTTTCAACATGTGACATTTTTTCAAATAGTAATTATTAATATATGTGATGATAAAAAAAGCATGTTTCCTAAGCATTACACTTTCGTTGGTTTCAAAGATTAGACTAGAGAAAGTAAGGAAAACCTTGCATGGAAATGTAAACATGGGTCTCTGTAATTTCTTGTATTGAAAATGATGATTGTGCGTGCGTGCTGTGCTGGCAGATACTAACAGAGAGGATTCATTTTCAGTGACTTAAAATTGACCTCAAGCAAACAATAAAACACGCACACACTCACAATTAGAATACCTGAAAAGAAAAATGGGTAGGCTCATACCCCCATTTTTCTAAGTGCCTTTTGGGACCAGAATTTCAGTTTTGTCATACAAATTGTCCTGTGTTACATTTTTCTTGATTTTAATACAGTATCTGCTTTTTCAATTTATTTTAAAAGTTTGCAACAGTTTTAGCTCACCTGAGCCGAAAGCTCAAGTGAGCTTTTCTGATCACATTTTGTCCGGCGTCCGTCTGTCTGTCTGTATGTAAACTTTTAACATTTTCGACTTCTTCTCAAGAACCACTTTGCCAATTTCAACCAAACTTGCCACAAAGTATCCACTGGGCCAGGAAAGATGAAACTTATGTGAAAAAATCCTCAGGTAGTGTAAATTCAATTTTTTTTTTCAAATCAGGACCCCGGAGGTAGGTGTGGCCACAATGGGCGATTTAAGTTTTACATGGGAATAAATGGAAATTTTATTTAAAAAAAAAAACAAAAAAAAAAAAAAAAAACTCTTCTTCTCAAGAGCAGCAAAGAATTGGTTGGTCACATTTTTATGGAAGCATCCTCAGGTTGTGTATATTCAAGTTTGTTCAAATCTTGACCCCCGGGGGTAGGGAGGGATCAGAACGGGTGATCAAAGTTTAGCATAGGAATAAATAGGAAAATTCTTTAAAACTCTTCTACCCAAAAACAGCAAAGTCATGATTGGTCATATTTTAATGGAAGCATTCTCAGTTAGCGTAGATTCAGGTTTTTTTCGAGCATGACCTCCAGGGTTAAGATGGGGCCACAATGGGTGATTAAAGTTTTTCATAGGAGTATATAGGAAAAAATTTAAAATTCTTCTTCTCAAAAACAGCAACGCCATGATTGATCATATTTATATGGAAGCATCTTCAGGTAGTGTAGATTCAAATTTGTTCAAATCATGACCCCCGGGGTAGGGTGGGGCCACAATGGGGGATCAAAGTTTTACATTGGAATATATATATCAAGAACAGAAAAGCCATGATTGGTCATATTGATATGGAGGCATCTTCAGGCAGTGTAGAATCAAATTCGTTCAAATGAGGGCCTTTGGGTGTAGGGTGGGGCCACAATGGGGGATCAAATTTTTATAAATGAATATATAGGAAAAAATCTGCTTAAGGTTTTGCCAAAGGTCAACATGTCCAAAAATTTATTTTTAGAATAGGTCCAAAACTATGTGGTTTATAAAGTTAGAACTTTTACAGTTTATAAATATATCATTGATTAACAGATAGAAAGTATCATTTGATAACAAATACTTAAAGAAAGTATTTATCGAGAAAAATTCTTTTAAAAAAAAAGCATATATTTTTAAAAAATACACCTAATTAATTCCGTACTTTTAGTGAAAGCCATTATTGCATAAACAATATATGTTTATCAATGAAGGGCAAGTTGGACTTCGATAGCCTCTGGAAAGTTGTTTTTTCCTGTTTATTTTGTCTAAATGTTAAGATTTGAAACCGAAAGTACATTGCAAATGGCGGATTTTATAGGAGTCTTGTCTTTATACATGGCATGCTTTCAATAAAAGCCTTTCAGAGACCATTCACGTCCAACTTGCCCTTCATTGATAAACAAATATTATTTCTGCAATGATGGTTTTCACTAAAAGTACAAAATTAAGCAGGTGCATTTTTTTAAAATATGCTAATGTTTTGATTTTTTTTTTCTCAAAAAATATATGTTTTTAAATATTTTTTTTAAGTGATACTTTCTATCTGTTAATCAATGATATATTTATAAACTGTAAAAGTTTTAACTTTATACCTCACATAGTTTTGGAGCTATTGTAAAAATAAATTTTTGGACATCTTGACCTTTGGCAAAACCTTAAGAATAGCAAAGCCATTTGTTATATTGATATGGAAGCATCATTAAGTAGTTTAAATTTCAACTCCCACCCCCTGTAAACTTTTCAATACTGAACTGATTTTTGCTTTTTTCCTAGCCAATTTGTTCAGGTGAGAGATGTGACCCATGGGCCTCTTATTAAAGGTTCACGTCAAAATTGGGTATACATATTAATGAACATGAATGCGTTAACTTTGAATGCCCAATGCGTATTCTTGATAAAATGACTGCGTCCTGGCGTTTCATACCAAAATCAGATGATAGGTTAACTTCGTTTTGAATTGCATAAAGATTATTATTATCATAAAAATCTCAAAATATTTGCCAAAGTGAATTTACATATGTTTCAGTAAGTATTTCAGATCAGTGTAAGGAATTATAAAGTGTACAATTTCATACTGAAGTATGTAGTGAACTAATCCGGAATTTTCATTTCCGTCAATTTATATCATCAATTAGTTATGTTAACTCAGTTGGTGTAGCAGAAAATCGTGCATCATGAACACTGACTATGATGAC